TCCATTCAGGATAGTCTGAGGGAATCTGACGTCCCCATCCCTCAAAGCTGTAAAGAGGAACAAACTGTACCAAAGCCAGAGGAGGAAGTGAATCCAAGCCAGCCATCTTTGTCGGTTAGTATAGAAACAGAAACACATGCTGATGTGGTCTTTGGAGACTTGAAGCCATCAAACCTTGTTTTGAAGTGTAAAACTCCTTCACCAACTCCAACTGAAGCAGCAGCTCAAAACATTGTTCCTCTTGAACCAGGTACAAATAAAAGTGAAGTTTTGGTGCAGGACGGTTGTGACCAAACTTACAAAGGTGCCTCTCAGAGTTTAATAACTGATTTAGAGAATCAGAAGACTGTCTCTGCAGAAACAGAACCAACTCCTAAAGATCCTCCAGACTCTGTGCTGAGATCTACTGTAAATGATGGTGGTCCAAAGCACCAACCAACATTACCAAACACCACACCTGTTGATGATCCAACTCCAGAACTAGGTACTAAAGAAACTGAAATCCTCAGCTGTGATTCTACCTCAGAGGAGTCCAGTTCTTACGGACCCAGCTCAGTGGAGGTGCCACCATCTGAGTCAACCAAACTAGAAACAGTGATCTCAGAACCCAAACCGCTGTCTGATAAATTGACTGGATCAGAAATTAGTTCTTCAAATCCAACAGTCCAAAGGTCCTGGGACTATACACAAGACTCCAACTCAGATGTCCTCCCCACTCTGTCCTCAGATATTAGGGAGGAAAAAGTGGAGGAGTCTGTCAGCCCCTCCCCATATGAATCCTCACAATCTCAGCTAAAGTCATCCGGGAACCATTTAACAGTTGATTCTGTACATGCCGAATCTGATATTTCTGCAGATGTATGTAGACACACTGAATCTGACACTACAGCACCATCAGAAGGTGATGCATTTGAATTAGAAGACTCCTCCGGTCTACAAACTGCTGCAGACATCTCTGCAGTTCTCACTCCTTCATCACCCAAATCTGTTTCACCCAAAGACTCTGACCTGGATTTGTCTCCTCTCACATTAGGTCAGGTTGATACCAGTGCAGTCCACCCACCATCTGACCACACCCCATCAGAAACACGTCCCTCTGCCAGTGAAGACAGAAATGCTACGCTGTCCTCGACCAAAGCACCTCTGCATAATCAACAGCAACAAGCACACCCTCAGTCAGATATCAACCTTGGAGGATTAGCCACGCCTCCTGCTATTGAAATTGTGGCACACTCTGTGATTGAGTCAAATGGTTCAGTTTTGTCTCCCGAGGCTGAAAAGACAGAGACCAACATGTCCACACTGAACAGTTCCTCAGCAACTACCCCCGCACAGATCATAACAGAGTCAAATCAGTCTCCAGTGCCTACAGCAGACAATTCTCACCAAATAGAGCCTACCTCAACGAGTCCTGCCGAGCCAGAGCCAACACCTAAAACTAAGCCTTATGACAGCAACACTCCAGAAACATCTTTGGAAAACACAGGTCAACAGAGTGGCCTAAACAATGAAACTGATCTTGGTGCTGTTGAAACAGTATCGCAATCTTCTTCTCGAATGGAGTCTGATGGATCAGTTTTGTCTCCTGAGGCTGAAAACACAGAAACCACCCTGTCAACACAGTGCAGCTCCATTGTCTCTGCTCATGAACAGAATACAACAGATTCATATGGATCTTCAGTGTTATCAACAACAGAAACTCCCAGTCCAAGTGGGCCTACGTCAGACATCTCCACAGGGTCCACAGGGTCCACAGGGTCTGAATCTGTGACTCCTGCAATTTCCTCTATGGAGCTGTCAGAACCTGCAGAACAGAGTCAAACTCAGAACCCAGAAGTGTCTGCTGACTCTGGTGAGAATAAACCTGAGGCCATAAATAAGGCTAACAATAGTGTATCAACAAATCAAGCCGGACATCTGTCAGCACAGCACAAGCAGCCAAAGACGAGCCAGTCTCGCTACCAGTCGTCAACAGCCAACGTGATCTCAAGCAGCAACCTCAGAGATGACACTAAGCTGCTGCTGGAGCAAATATCTGCCAACAGCCAA